GATTTACGCGTTCTTCCGAGTAAATCGCCAGAACGCCGACACCTCCTCATCTCCACCGCTCCCATGTTTTTGTTTGTGTTGCCATAAGTTAGTCGCTCGCCGTTGGTGCGCTGGGCTAATGCCAGCAAATACAATGGCGGCTTCACAAAACTTTTCGGAGTTTTACGGGGCGTGGTTTGCAATTCGCCCAGCCAATCAGAAATGGGAACCTTTTTCTCCCAGGAAAGTACCTGCTCTCTAGCAGGGACTGAAAAGGGGTGAAAAGGTTCGCAAAAAAAAGATCTTTTTGGTGTGAACGCAAAATCCCAGGAACTATCGGAACTATTCCTGGGAAAAGTACTCTGGTGTGAAAGAGCCTATAATGTATTTATTCACCTTATCGTGTAAAGAAAATAATTAGGAATGATAAGAAAGATGGATGGCATTATGATGCATTGATTTACAATGAAAATGCAGGGAAGGGACTGCAAGGAAATGAAATTATTGGGGATCGATACGTTTCCTGCCCCAGTCCCTAATACTTTCTTTAGATCCATCTTTGAATTAATAGAAATAATCCAATACTCTCCCTCCCCAAATGTCATGATATCTAAACAGTGATCTGTACAGTTAATTTGATCATGTTCCCTAATTTAAACATTCATATCCTAACAAATAATAATATAAAATAGCCCCTGAGGCAAGCGAAACCTGATACAAAATAAATCCAAAGTAGAAAATACACCCTCCATTGCTCTCTTAATAAAGTCAGATAATATTCTGGTCAACAAAAGGACAAATAACAAACCCCTACCCCATGTATGACCCCTTTCTCCCCTTATCATTTTCATACAGTCTCTTTCACAAAACCTGCTTGTAGCTTTGTATCACAATACTAAAAATGACTTGATATCAGAAACTCAACAAGTGGGAAATGAAGTAGATGGGCACACTGCAGTATGTGCTGTTGACGTGGTTTGTTTATGTTGGAAAATAAGCTTTAAATAGGATGTTTACATAGAAGTTAAATTGCAGTGTTCCTTCCAAATGACATGCCTATCTCTTCCAAGCAATAAAGGACACTTTTTGCTTCACTGCAAGGTCCTGATAACTCTTCCCCCAGCCACAGGTAGGAATATAACTTCTTTGTTTGTCTAGTAAAATAATATGGTTTTATTTTGTAATTTCCCTTGTAAAAACCAAATCTCAATTATATCTTGGAGGGAAAATATAAACACAATAATTGTATCCATATCACTCCAATTGAAAACTAAAAGCTGTAGTTATCAGCCAATCCACACAGAAAAACATTCCAGGCACAGAGAGTCTGTTTTCCATTACACAAGTCACAGTTTATCCTTTTCCCTATATTTCTTTCAAAACAAGGGAAGGAGAATGGGACAGACATTAATTTCTCTCTGGAGAGGAACAAGTTATATAATATATTTCCATCTAAAGACAGCCACCTCACCACTGAGGCCTCAAGTTAAAGCAGAGGGCACTCCAGACAAACCTCTCCACGTGTCAAACAGACAGGGAAGTGATATAAACCTGTTTTTATAATAAACCTGATTATGTAAACCAACCTGGTTTCACAGGTTACTCCCAACCAAAGCCTCTGTCCAGGCTCAACTTTATAATGCAAGTATGGACATGATTTTTTCATTATATTGTAACAATAATATGGTTACTATTGAGACATTCTAACACCAAATGGACTTCACAGTTGATATTTATGTACCTTTAAGATGTTTTCTCTGCTAAATCTCAGACTTGCGTGAACATTATTAGACTGTAGTACATTATCCTGTAATGCAATGCCCAACTAAAGAGCACAACATCTATTAAGATACATGACATGTTAGGTCTCCAGAGTTAACACAGCAGAAACCTGTTTTTAATGAAAGTATTATCCATCATCAGAGTTAGGTGTAACGCGGTTTCCGCCGCAGGTTTATATGCACGTAATCTGCGCGACTTGCGCGTCCACATCTCCACGTGCAGTGCTGCATAAACATGGCAGAGTCAGCGATAACTTTCGAGGGGTGGAGGTATGCCCATTATTTTGAGTTCGTCCGAAGAATAGACAGGAATGTGATGGTGAGGTGCAAACTGTGTCCAGGCCAGAAGCTGTTATCCACTGCTGCAAACACCACGTCAAACCTCAACAAACACCTGCAAAGAACACATGCTAAGGTGAAGCTAATAGCTAAGGACCCCCGAACCCAGAGTGAGGATGTTGTGAGTGCGCCGCCGCCGACTCCGAAGCGGCACAAATTAGAATTTGGAGGACCGGTAACCAAAGCAGAGATGGACAGGCTTGTAGCATCCTTCATAGTAGAGGTAATGTTGCCCATTTGCACAGTGGAATCACCATCGCATCGTTCAGAGATATACTGCGCAAAATACAGAGAGCAGGAGACAGAGGACAGCCATAGTCAGAGCTATCTGGATCAGTCTTATGCGACAATGGAAACTGAACTAAAGAGAACATTTGAAACTTTAGCAGTCTGCGTGATCTGCCTGTAGGGAGGGGCGGGCCGGCCATGCGAGTAAAGTAACGAGTAAAGTAACGAGTAAAGTAACGAGTAAAGTAACGAGTAAAGTAACGAGTAAAGTAACGAGTAAAGTAACGAGTTACTTTATGTAGAGAGTAACGAAGTAGTGTAATATATTACTTTTTTTTAAAGTAATATGTAATATGTAATATATTACTTTTTTTTAGTAACAACCCCATCTCTGTCCATCATACACTTTCAATCTGGTAAACAGCATTAGGCAAATATAAGTATGCCTATTGCCTGCTGAGCAGTGTTATGTAAAGACTCAGGTCCTGTTTTAAATTAATTCACATAGCATCCCTGCAGTCTCATACAGACCGGTCAAACTGAAGTGGAGCACATGTTTCAATATCAAAACAGATTTGTTTGTGAAAGTAATGCCAGAGTGGGCAAAGTGCAAGCCACAATGAAAAGGTATAAAAATCGAATTAGGGAAATATATTTCAGTTTATTTTTTTCATGGCCCCAGAGGCACATCACCTGCTTTCAGAGCCCTCTTCTGGCACCAACATCTAAACCCCTGCAGGGCCTGGCCAGCCTTTCTACAGGACCTGTAGGTCATACTGAATATGAATGGCTCTGCAACTGGCAGACAAAGCTATGCATAGACACAACAGGGACAGGGCTGGAGCCAAGTTTTAGTGGATGCAAATGTGAATCGCCCGTGTGTAAAAGCAAGGTGTGACTTTTCACAGATAACATTGCATTACGGCTACCAGAATTCTTGCAGATTCCTCAAAATGACGTGCCAAATGTTCTATCTGCAGGAAAACAAAACCCACATGGGATTTTCTTTTATTGTGCATGGGCAACAAAGCCTATTTGAACTCATCTGCACTAACTCAACTCAGCTGATGGAGAGACAGCGTGGTTGGCGTCATGCCGGCCCCGTCCTGGTGCAATCTGGCTTCAGCCCAGGGAAATGAGTGTTTTCCCACATCCCCGCACTGAATTGGATGCTGCACAGGGACCCTGAAGTTCCCATCAGATTGTACTGAGCACTTCCAGCGCCTCTCTGGACACTACGTGGGATATCACTAACCTTTTGGGGGTTAACAGCAACCATAGTGTGCTGCTCCCCTCCCCGGTTCCCACTTCCCTTCCAGCTCTTTTACCACAACCTCTCCACATGCTGACCATTCCTCTGAAGTTGTTACAGTGGGTGGGGTGTTGGGTGGAGTCAGCGCGTTTGTTTTGAGTGTTTGAATGTGTTAGTGATTGTGTGGGCGGGGGTCTGTGTGTGCTTATGTGTGTGCTTATGTGTGTGCTTTTCGGAGAAATAGAGGGAGGATTGGGGGAAAGCATGCAAGATGCTTTTGCAAGTGCTGCCAGAGAAAAGGTTTGTTTGCAGTAAGGGAGCCAGAGACTTTGAGTGTTATTAGAGTTACTGATACAGTATCACACTCTGGTAAGGGGAGCAGGAGAACAGCAGAGGCCCGAAGGGGAGAGACTGCTCTGCCGGTCATTTACAGTCAGATTCCAGCAAAGCATATCAGCACCATCTAAACAGAGAACCAGGCTGCAGTGCTCTCATGCATCATAACCTCCAGATTTGGCCCATCAGTTGAGGATAAAGTACACAGTTAGCAAAGAACTTGTGGTTTGGGCCTTACAGAAAAAGTAATAAAAAGGTGCTTAATTATCCAAGGTGGGAGTGTGTTTGTTTAGTAGAAATGCAGAATGATATGGGAGGCATTTCAACACATTTTACAACATAAAAGCAAAGATAAGAGGACTATTTGGAAAGGAAAACAGGATGGTTTCTTTAAAGAAAGTGTAAAATTGGACAGAGTCCATCCCAGAATGGTGTTCACAGACCTCCGTGATTTAACAGGGCTCACAAATGTTGCCATAACTCTCCTGAAAATAAAGCAGAGCCAATTCAACACAAGTTTTTTTTCTTGTTTCTTTGGACTGAATGCAAATAGCAGCTGTTTAAACACATGGGTAGAAAAGAGCTACCCACATACTGCTTTTAACTGAAAGGGCTGAAAATGCTGCACTTTATTTAGTATTAATTCAGATGTATGCATCCTGGTTTGGGGATGTCGGTCAGGAGCAAGCAGACAGTGTGTGCAGGAGTCCCACATCAAGGTTAGCAAGGATGGAAATGTCATGAAAGTAGCTCAGAGGTGAACAAGACCAAACTGTATGTAGGAATAAGTTCAAGGTGAGGCTTACACATCGACATTAATGAGGCAAAACACTATACAAAAATTGCAGTTTCTCCAAAAACCTTCATTTACACTTTAAAGCTCCCATTGTAGAATAAATGACTATCAGCGGAATTACTTTAAATGTATAAAAATGGCAGGCTAAACATTTCCACAAACTATTCTCCCCCGTAAAAAACATAAATGTACTGGATTTAGACGAGATTCAGGTTTACTACGCCTCATCTTTTCCCGTTGTAAAGGTGTTTAACCTGAAAACCGAGAACACGGAGCATAAAGACCTTACCATCCACAAGCTGCAGAACAGGAAAGGACTCGGTCACACCTTAAGTCTTCAAAATGGTTGAAAAAACTGTCGAATAATGAATCGAAACACCCTTTTTAAATCCACAGTGTGCCAAAGATTGAGCAGGTTATAGTCCGTGTGTGTCGGTGAAGTGAAGTCCATCCACGGTGCGTTTACGGACGAGCCTCCTCCTCCTCTCCTACTACACTCTTCTGAACTTTAGCTCCTCCCCCTGCACGCTGCCTGCAAACACTGCATACAACCAGCCTGCAACACACATGGCCTCTCATTTCCTCAATAAATCACTTATATCTAAATCAGGGGTGTCAAACTCAAATACGCAGTGGGCCAACATTTAAAAATCGGTACTAGTCAAGGGCCGGACTGGTTCAATGTTTATTGCAAAACTTATTGAAATGAACTTATTGCACATATTAAACCTGGAACTAAAAAAGCTTAAAGGTGGGGTAGGTAATTTTGGAGAAACCAGCTCGAGATCGCTAGAATTTGAAAATACACAGGGTGTTTCTCAATCGCGAGTACGCTTGCTTGGTAGCACATGTCTGCCGAGCATCTTGCTTCAGAAGCGAGGCAAGAATACTTCCTGCCATTCGGAAAACAAAGAGTGGAACAGGCTAGCAAGTGTGCAGGTGTGCGTCATATGAGAGGCCCCGCCTTACATCTTCCGCCACAGATTTGGGGAAATTGGTCCGTGCGCAAAGCATTGTGGGGATTTTAAGACCGCAAAGTCTACTCATGTGCAGACTCGATATTTCTCCAAACGGAGTACGCCGGGCTCGGTAGATTTCCAAGGGTGTTTCTCAATCGCGAGTACGCTTGCTTGGTAGCACATGTCTGACGAGCATCTTGCTTCAGAAGCGAGTCAAGAATACTTCCTGGCATTCGGAAAACGAAGTGTGGAACACGCTAGCAAGTGTGCAGGTGTGCGTCATATGAGAGGCCCTGCCTTACATCTTCCGCCACAGATTTGGGGAAATTGGTCCGTGCGCAAAGCATTGTGGGGATTTTAAGACCGCGAAGTCTACTCATGTGCAGACTCGATATTTCTCCAAACGGAGTACGCCGGGCTCGGTAGATTTCCAAGTATACTGGAGATTGGAACAGTACTTCGGCGGCACTCGATGACGTAGTATGCTTGAAATAGTGGCTCTGAAGCAGCTTTACTCGCGATTGAGAAACACCCACAGACGGAAAAAATCTGCCACTTCCTTACAGAGCCCCTCCTCCAACACACACGAACGCACACATGACCAATGAGGGCACGAGGTAAGTTTGTGCACAGATGGAAGGCTGACAGGCAGGTAGGCCATCCAGTTATTTAGCCGGGCCGGTCGTGCTTTTTACAGTATTACGGCTTCCACAGATGACATTTTTTTATGGATTTTTTGTCAAAGCACTTAAGATATTCATTGCTATCGGGATGTTAAGAGCATTCCATGGAATATAACAAAAAGTGTATCTCGAGCCGGTTTCTCAAACGTACCTACCCCCAGTGGCGACTGGTCATTAGGGGCAGGTGGGGCACAGCCCCACCTAGTGTCAGCAGAAAGTATTACAAATAATGATTACAAAAATGCAAAAAAAAAAAAAAAAAAAATATATAAAATATATTTTAAGATCATGTTTAATCATCTGATTCGTCTGTACATTGCTGTTTTAGTCTGTGTTCTTCTAATTAGTGTGTCTACAGTCACAGTGTGTGCCTATTGAGCTGTTTAGAGCCATGTGGGACAAAACCTGATTATGCCCCTCCCTCTCGCTGTGAAGTCAACGGTGACTGTAAAAACTACACTGCGCATGCTCAGAGTATTTTGTAATGAAATGTGTGTGGCAAAAAAATAATGACCAGAGGGGCATGGAGCTACCATCCCCACCATACGTCATCTCAAATCATTCAGAGCTGATTGGCTGTAAGTACGTGTGCCGCGAAAAGTGTGCTGTGTGAAGAGGAGACGAGAGAGCTGCAGTGGCGCGTCCTAAAACCAGGAAGTAAGCTGCAAAAAAGCAATGAGATTTCTCCAGAGGATTTTAGAAAATAGCTCGAAATAAGATCTGTGGGAAACGTACCTGTTAGATAAATGCACGTTTTGATTAGCCGGATAACATCCACATGTCTACCCTACTTTTATAATTTTTTTATCATAAATCTATGGATTAGATTTATGATAGACCTTTGAAACTACAAGAACATAAGGAGGACTTTTACAAAAAAGTAATAGAAATGTTTGTCCAGAAGGATAGGCAAATGGACTTCATCTTCAAGTCAAGGTAAGACCGCAATTTTATTGAAAATGGGATCTTACTAAGAGAGAACAATTCAATATTTAAATGATAAAATTACATTTTTTGGGTATCCTTTTGTTGAAGTGTCTGTTTAAAATTAATCGAAGCATCAGACAAAAAAAGCTTTTGAAAATAATATTATATTTTGGTTTAGGTCAAAATATAATATTTGTAAACCTGAAGAGTCAGTGCCAGTGCCTCACCAGCCATGAACCTCACTGCACGTCACTGCAGAAGCTTATATATAGACATCTAAGTTTTTTGTGCCCCACCACTTTTGTACATATAAAAACGCCACTGCCTACCCCACCTTTAAATTATTGCCTATAAAAACAACATTACACATAATCAGTTGCATTCATTTCTTATGGCTCTATCTGCAGCTTTTCCGGAGTCATTTCTTATGATTACATTTTTCCACAGGCCAACAACAGCTTCAAAAAAACAATTTCCCTCAAAGAAAAAACCAAACATGCCCTGTTGTCGCAAGAAAAAAAGTGCAAAAAGGAAACATCCATTGAAACTCAGTTTGCTGCTCTGTGATGCACACTAAGCCAGATACCGGCGGGCCAGATCTAAATTAAAATGAAATCCACCAAGGGCCTGATTTGCCCCCCGGGCCTTGAGTTTGACACATGTGATCTAAATAATGCAATAAAATATAATCTACATTTCAGATAAGATGTGCAGGGTTTTTTAAAAGTTGTATTTTAACTGAATGAGTTGAATACACTACATCCCAAATGTCCCTTCTTCACAGAAAAATAAAATAACAAAATGAAAAATCAACATACATAAAAATAAATATGAAACACTGATTATAAATGCATTTAATTATAAAACAACAAGGTTGACAGTGTGCAGTTGTCTTCGGGGGAAAGGGTAAAGTAGTCTACAACTGATTGTGGATTACACGCACATCAAAACACACAAAAAAAGAAATGAAAGAAAAGATTACTACTGTGTAATGTAAGATTGTATTTCTGTAAACGGTTGCATGATTTGTTGCAGAGCAGTATTTATGCAAAGATTTTGAAGGCCCTTTTTTGTTTATTATAAATGGCAGTATAGTTGTTTGCCACTTTATCATTGAGTGTAACAACACATGGCACACAGAGCTATATGTCTCACCATAGTAGCCTACGTTTTTTTAAACTATGCAAAGGTTGTCAAAAAGAGGGGAAATTAATTTTCATGGACAAAAAAAGCATATGATTTGACCTATCAGAAGGTAAGGGACTCAAATCTCAAAGCATACTCTCTCAGATTGTGACTATGCTTCTTGGCTGAGAAAGTCTTCTTTCTCTCTTCGGTATCAGTATTCCTCTTTCTCTTTCTTCTTAAAGCGCCCTGCAGCTGTCAAACAATGAATGATAACTGAGAGCGTCCACCACAAAGAGAATTACACAGGATTATGTACGAGGGCACAGACCTAAACACAACCGGACTCAGCCATTCAAGTAATCTCTTTTTATCCCCAAAAAGAGTTAAATGAACTGTGTGTATGTCTTTTTTCTTCTTGAAAGGCTCCTAACAACAGCCTGGCTGCACCATTTGCTCTGCTGCTGACGTCCAATAAAATGTATCTTTCCTTGACAAGGAGAGACATGAAACAAATTTGTATGCATAACACAAAACCACTTTTCACACCCGCAGGGAGAAGAAAACATTAATAATTAGTATCCAGCACCTTGCTTTCAGTGACATGTGACAATGTGAGAATTTGTCAGATATTTTGACTGTTAACACCAAGAGATGTGATGGCAGTAAGCAAGCCAGGCGCAGAACGCTCGAGGCTGCATCTTGATTCAACCTTTATTGTGGAAATGTTGTCACTCTCTGACTTATTTTGCATGACTGTGACACAGATGAAGCAAAGGCCAACCCTCCCCCAACAGGAAAAATATGTGACAGGTGGGGGTTACATTTACGACACTTCATTCCTCAGTCCCTGTCTTTCTATCTCTTTGACATGACTCCTTCTCTCTATGTATTTTTTTTAAATAAAAGACGGCCACAAATCAAAGTTGTTCTCCTTTATCTGCCAGGAACCCAGTAATCCCTCAAATTCAATCAAGGATTACTCTGATTCAAATCATCCAACTTTTGCAAAAGTCAGGTTTGTGACAGATAGGCCACTCAGCAGTTTGAATTCCTTTGAAAAAACCATTCCATTTTTTTAAAATTGCTTTTCTGTATGCAAATCATTTATGAATCCATCAAGCTACAGAGTCAACCAAAGTATTTAAAGGTGGGGTAGGTAAGTTTGAGAAACCGGCTCGAGATACACTTTTTGTTATATTCCATGGAATGCTCTTAACATCCCGATAGCAATGAATATCTTAAGTGCTTTGACAAAAAATCCATAAAAAGATGTCATCTGTGGAAGCCGTAGTACTGTAAAAAGCACGACCAATCATTTTAGCCGGCCCGGCTAAAGTAACTGGATGGCCTACCTGCCTGTCAGCCTTCCATCTGTGCACAAACTTATCTCGTGCCCTCATTGGTCATGTGTGCGTTTGTGTGTGTTGGAGGAGGGGCTCTGTAAGGAAGTGGCTGTGTATTTTCAAGTTCTAGCGCACTCGAGCTGGTTTCTCCAAAATTACCTACCCCACCTTTAAGTTCACCCAAAACAAATGAATAAAAAAACGAGGAGAGTAAATTAGTCTTTATCTCACACTGAAAAGTGAGAAAATGAAGTAGAAAGCAGTCAGATATTGGCTCTCCCAAACTGAAAATGCAAAAACAAGATTCTGAGCACTTTGCAGGTTTTGGTGAAGCACTTTGATAAGAATGAAGTGGCCTCCTGGTAATGAGCACGGCAGGGTTTATCCGTAGCATTTTATACTTTGAATTCATCAAAGTGTAAAAA